CACTACACACTACACTATATACATTCACAACTGACATATTTGGTTCATTATTTTTGTTTATTAGTTTTTTTTTGTTTCTTTCTTTTTTTTTCACACACAGAGAAAATTCAGGAGAGACATCACACACACAGTAGATACATTCACATCACGACAGACATGCAAACACATCACACGAAACACATCAGACACAATACACTACACACACATTATTAGTTTTTTTATTAAGTCGTTTCATATCTCCTACGAACAGAATATTATTATGTAATGTCTACAACTATTATCTGTCAGTATGTATACTTCATAATTAGTATTTATTATTTATGCATCAGTTAAACGTTTATTGAGTCTCTCCACAATTCAATCTTTCACTATATTTTACAAAAAACAACAAAAACTATCAACAACAAAGTCTAACGTTAATTCATTCTGAATTACCGGTAACACGGTGAACAAGAGAAGAGGAATAAAAAGCATCATAATCATCATGTTAGTGAAGCAGCAGTTAGAGTTTAGTTTAGTGCTGAAGGAATTAAAGGCCTGTCCCCAATAATAATACGTTTTACAGTAACTGGTTTCACTGGTTTAAACTCATCCTTTAATTTCTTCTTCACAAAACTCTTAGTCAGCAAAGATGTGAAATACGTTTGTTGAGTTTTATTCTGCAAATTTGACGACTAACATCTTGAATTTCATCTTGAAGTCAGATTATCGGTAGAAATGTGCCTTTTAATCCTAAATGAAGTGTTTTTCAGTGTCCGGATTTAACGTCTGTCTCTTAGAGGTCTAACAGTTTCACGCTCTCGCAAGAAAACAAACAACAAACAACAAACTCAATCTTAAAATATAAACTATGTCACGAATAACAAACCTGAGAAGTTTCAAGAAAATTTGAAATGTTTCCTCCAACTGTTAGTTATTGTTATTTATTGTCTTCCTTTTTCTATAAAGACAATAAAGAGATGGTTTGTCGGACACCGTTAAAGTAGCAGGCAGAATAAATGGCACACAGCCTCAGAGACATTCAGAAGCTCTTTATACTGAGAACAAACAGATTCACTGCACCGGCTGTGATTAATGTCCCCTGTCTCCCCGTGTGTTGGGGTTTTATTTTAGTGCTCTACTGTAAATCCCCTCGAGGGACAACAGTGATTCAACCTGAGACCGGATTTTAAATAGTTTCTGAAGCCAATTTGTCTCCAGATTAAGTTTTATTAGTTTAAATAGAATATTTGTTTCAGTAAAATGTGTCTAATCTGGTTTGGATGGAGAAAAAAGTGTTTAAATTTCCTTTTTTGTTCCATTTTCACTGGACTTTCAACATTATTTAGAGTCTCGTTCCCCCTTTGAATCTAAAACTGGGTTTAAATCAGTCTCTGCAGTCTCCACGTGAATCCAGTCCAGGTTTGACAAGTCTAAGTACAATATATTTGATCTTTAGGTTGCCAGACATCACCCCAAATACAGAGGGAACACTGGGAATGTCAGCAAAACCTAAAGTCTTATTTTGAAAAGCCTCATTGCTGTGTGGTTTCCGCTCCTCGCTGACGCCGTTCTTCCGTCCCCTGAAAGGTCTCCATCCTGTCTTCGTTCGAGAGTCGCCTGATGCAGCTGGAGAACTCCATCATCCCGGTCCACAAGCAGACCGAGAACCTGCAGCGCCTGCAGGAGAACGTGGACAAGACTCTGTCCTGCATGGATCACGTCATCAGTTACTACCACGTGGCCAAAGACACGGACAGGATCATCCGAGAGGGGTGAGGCTGCGTTCTGCTGCTGAACAGACGCAGGGAAACGTCGCAGGTGTCGTAATGGTTGTGCGTTTGTGTTTCAGGCCGACGGGCAGGTTGGATGAGTATCTCGCTTGTATCGCAAAGATTCAGAAAGCTGTGGAGTACTTTCAGGATAACAACCCCGACAGCCCCGAACTCAACACAGTGGTACAGTAGATGTGGATTTTGTTACTGTGGCAATAAGTCAGAGTGGTCCAACTGTCCCTCACAGGTTTACATTCCTGTTAAACAGTTACACACTTGAAGTCTTGAGAACAGAGTTACTTTGATTGTTACTGTGATTATTCTACAGTTTGTCTCATAAATTTGTTGTTAAAGAATAACAGAGAATTCCAGATGCCCCTGAACGCCATAAGTTTCTATGCTAGATGCTAAATGCTTTTGGTAACGTGTGTGTGAGTGTGTGACCTCTCATGGTTCCAGTTGGATGTTTGGAAAACCTTTGGAAAAACGTGTGAATGTGCTATTTTATACCGACTGCTGACTAAGCTCATTTAGTCTGTTGTAGTCCTCATTTTGGCCTCTTGGTGGCTCAAAAACTGACTTTAACAGAAAGGTTTGGTCTGATCCTGAACTAATCCCATACCTCATAAACTGAGAAGTGTATAAAAAGGTCCCTAAACAGGAAATAATCTGCTCAACATTCATCCAAATCTCTGTTTTTACACAAACTTCCTGCAGTTACTGAGTTCACTGTTTTAAATTTAATATGAAATATCCCTAAAATATGGCTCTGAGTCAGTTTATGAAATGATAGAAAAGGAAAAAGGTTGGGAACCACTAAAGCACCCTTCTAGTCACCTGAGCGAGCTTTGTAAACGTCGGTGTAAAAGAAAAAGGTGAATTCCCAGATAAAATACTCCATCGTTGTTGCTTCTCTGCAGAAAGCGCGTTTCGAGAAGGGCAAAGAGCTGCTGGAGGCCGAGTTCCGCAGCCTGCTGACCCGCTACAGTAAACCCGTTCCCCCGATCCTCATCCTGGACGCCATCAGCGTGGACGAGGAGCTGGAGGTCCAGGAGGACGTGGTGCTGGAACACCTGCCCGAGGCCGTGCTCCAGGACATCATCTGCATCGCCGGCTGGCTGGTGGAGTACGGACGCAACCAGGGTACGTATGTCGCTGTGTGTCTCTCACATCCTGTCCCGGCTCTCAGGTGGAGATTGTTCAGGTGGTCGAGTCTGAGAGGAAAATATCCGTTCTGTGGAGATGTGATGCACTGTGAAAAAACATGTGAAGCTTCATATTTCCTCTCTGCAGCTCCGAAACTCAGTCAATCAATCAATCACAGGTGATAGGAAAGGTGTCCAATCAGGTCCGGGGCCAGGGTGTCTCATTATCAGCCGGACAGAGGAAGAGTGAAACAGCCTGTATGTATCAGCAGGAACAGGTAAACACCACATCACAGCTGGTGTGGAGGGAAAGTAGAAGTCTGTAGAGGCTTTAATTCACACCAAAAGGACGGATTAAAAAAGGAGAAATAACTTTTGACCCAACCTGAGGGTCTTAAAGGTCACATAAATAACTGTTTTACTTATTTGACAAGAGCTGAAGATACTTTTCTCAAACTATCTGAGTCAGAGTGATGAAGAGCAGAGAGGCAGACTGTAATTATAAACCGTTGGCAGTGTAATCAGCCTGTGGGATTCATTATGTATCATCCTGCTCGCATGCTGCATGAACACGTGCATCACAAATCATTCTGCTGTGAGTTTGTGTTCATTTGTCCTCATGACTCAACAGTTTGTTCATTAAATATGTATTATATATATTATTATGCATTAAATAATCAGTTTCTGCCATGTTACTGTATCCAAACATCAATAAAAAAGCAAGTTAAGCAATACGAACGTAAACAAGCTTGTAGATGTGACCTTTTCTTTTGCAGCGATCTAGCCTCTTAGAAAAAGTTCCCACCTGCAGAAGCATGAAGTAATGAAAACACTGCAGTCCCTCTAACGACCACTAGAGGCTGGCTCCAGCAGTGAGTCAATCTCCATAAGGCCCCATGTTAAAATACACAACTTTACAGCAGAAACAAACATGTTTACAGCCTGGTAGGAAAAACAGTTTTGGTCTCTATAGTTAATTTCCCCATTCGTGACAACTGTACAGGAGGGTGAATGTTATATATACTACTGTATATAACTCACCTGTTTAAATCATATTGAGGATTAAAGTTGCTGCTAAACAAGACTCATTTTGACTGAATCCCACAGACACAAGCTACAGCATCAAATATGTCTTAATCCGCAGCTGAAAATAGTTCCAACAAATGCACTATTTCCTCATCTTTAATTAAAAACTACAGTCTGCAGCTGTTTGTTTGTTTGTTTTTTAAACACTATACATTTATAAAAGATGTTTGAAACATTTGTGTGTTCAGTAGGTGTTCTGATGTGTTTGGAGCTGACAGCAACAAACAGGAAGTCAGGAAACTTTGAGAGACGAACGTAACGTTTTTGGTGTTTTCGTGGGATTCGTCGACAGCAGCCTCACACTCGTTGTTTCCTGAACTCTCTCCTGCAGATTTCATGAACGTCTACTTCCAGATCCGGTCCAACCAGCTGGATCGCTCCATCAAAGGCCTGAAGGATCACTTCCGCAAGAACAGCGCCTCCTCCGGGATCCTCTACTCGCCCGCCGTCCAAACCAAACGCAAGGACACGCCGACCAAAAAGGCTCCGAAGAGACCAGGTCAGAAACCTTCTCACACAAAGTCCACCGTCGCTCCACTTCAGGCTGGAATGGCACTCCGGGCGTAGAAGCACTCTTTTATAGATGAATCTAACGAACGAGCATGTTTCTGCATAATGTTGAAATAATAGCACAGAAATCTTCACTACATTCACTGTTCGATTAGATTTCCATCCAGCCGCATTATTCTGTTTCAAGGATCCTCCACGATCTCTCTAATTATCCCACTCAGCGAACTGTAGAGCACTGCCCCCCCCACAGTGTTTCCCTGTGATTTTACAGCTCTAACTAATCCTTCATCCTTTCCTCTCTTATAATCCCAATGTTGTGATGACAGTCTACATCCCAGGTAAACGGAACGCTTTAGTGTGTGCCGTCGTGCTTGCTTTTTCTGTCCGTCGGACGTCACATTTCACAGCAAATCAGTGGCAGCATGAGTGTGTTTAGCCGTGAGAAGATGTAGGACCGTTACAGACGGCGGGAGGTTGTTGTCCTCTGAAGAGATGTCCTAGGTTGTTTTCAGTCTAGATGTAGGGCCTCTAGTTTCACTGCGGCGTTCACTGCTGGGGACTGCAGCTGAGTCTAAGGATCATCGTCCTAAAAATGATTAAATGAGCTATATGGATGAAATCTAATACCTAAAATCTGCAACTAACAGTTATTTTCATAAGCTATTTAGCTTCATGATTAATCGTTGGGTCTAAAAATGTCCAATCTAAGTCTAACATGATGACTCCAACAGTCCAAAAACTCCAAAATGTTCAGTTTACAATCACAGAAGACGAAGAAAACCTGAAAATATTCACGTTTGACAACCTAAAACCTTGGATTTTTGCTTTGAAAATTACTTAAACAATTAATGGATTAATAAAACATCAACTGACCAATTGATTAATTGACTAATTGATAAATCGAATAATTGTTTAATATGCAATCAGTGTCCACTTTATTAGGTTCACCTGTACAGTGTAATTAGTGCGGTATGACCAAAAAAGTAATTAACGGTATAATACTGTGTTTTTTTGCATAACTGAGCCGTTATATCGGTTTATAGTATTTTATACTATTGTCCAGTGTACATAGAATATAAAACACTTTAATGCCATCATGTATTCGTACGTTTTTATTGGCAAAAATGATACAATATGTGAAGGAATCAGAACGTAAACAGTTTATATTAGAACTTAAAAATAATAAAAAATATACCCAAAACTTTAACATTGTACAACAAGTATTTAAGTATTCAGATAGATATTTCTAACATACTATTAACTGTGTCCTTTCTACCCAAAATTCAGCCTTACAGCGATTAAAATCCAGTTTTCAAATCAAAATCAATCGAAGGATGTGATTGGATTGTTGGATTCTGGACTTTTCTCATTATAATCACTCACAGATTCTTTTTTTTCCTGTCACATTGGCAGAAACAGGCTTCCATACGTTTAGTGTGTCGCTGTGTTGAAAACCTGCCGTCGCCAGCAGTCAGTTCGCCGCCGTGAAACCAGAAAGCTGCAGAGTGTTCAGTGTTTGTGTGTGCTGTGACAGGACTGTGTGTAGTGTTGAACCGAAGCCTTTAAACAGCCGATGATCTGCTCCCTCAGGCACAGGCTTTTAAATCATAGTTATTTAATGTATTCCTTGTTATTGACAGCGCTGCTTGAATCACAAGTAACTTCATCAACATTGACTTGCAGCTCGGCCCGGCTTTTGCTTGTGCTGAACTACACTTTTACAAGAATTAAACAACAGTTAAAAAGGTTAATAGATTCTGACCCAATCTAATCTATGTTAAAGCTCCACTAATCAATCTATATTTTTTAGTATTAACAATGATTAAAATGTGAAACGTAAAAGAGGTTGTTTGCAGTGATGAACCTAAGAATTAGGGAGCTTTTTAGCCTCTTTTAGAGTCTTTTTAGTGTCTGTCAGCAACTAGCTGGTGAAGAAAGTGGAGCGTTTAGCAGATAAAGAGGCAGATATTTCCCTCAGGAGCCGGTCGAACCTCATTTGTGACCTCAACCTTTTATCCAGCAGCAGGTTGTATCTTCAGAAGTGTTTTTTGGTGCTCTTACAGATTTATACTCTCTGCCTCAAGTGAGAAAATGTGATAAAAAACAACATTTAAGTCCAGTATTTCTGGAGAATAAAAGCAGCATTTTAAAAGAAGCAGACGTGCTCTATATAGAGAGAACTTCTGCGATGATTTGGTGATATACAAATACAATTTGAATAGAACAGAGTGAATGGAAATGTTGGATTTAATCATACCTACTGCTGGCTATCAGGTAATCACAGTCAGTAATCTCATGGCTGATTGACGGAGAGCTGAGGTCACAAATGGGGGCTGGTAGAGACCAAACCAGAGCTAAAATCAGAGCAAATATTGACTAAAACTCATTTTTTGGACACAATAGGATGATGATGTTTTTCTGTGTTTGCTGCATGTTTGAACACACAGTTATTCGCCTTGACCACAGATAATGAGCCATTGTTTTCCAGCTTCTTCTGCCCTCCAAAGTGGCAAAAAAAAAATCAAACAAACTGCAGCTTTAACTGTGCTTTATGCCTACTAACTGACTAACCCAGCTCAGAAACTGTGTTTGAATCCTGAGAATATGAATGTACTGTAGATTGTGCCTGTCTAAACCATGTAACCACATCTTATGGTAATATTAGTAATATGAATGCTGCATATGTTTAATTGTATTAATTGTGATGTGGCTGTTTTGTGTTTTTTACGACTGACCTAACCTGTTTATTCTGCTCTTACATGACCCTGGGCGCCGTGTGCGTTCGAGCACACGGTGTGTTTTCATGACGTAGCTGTAGTCTCTCACCTGGTCATCCTGTTGTGTAGCTGTGGTGCTAGGCTATGCCTCCCCCAACCCTCCACATACTCTGCTGCCTGTCTCGGTGGTGGTGTCTTCAGTTCACTCACTTCCTAGCTCTTCTTCTTCCTCTTTCTTCTTCCTGTTTCTTGGCTGTCTGGACCTCGCTGCCTCCTCTCTCTCCCCCCCCCCC